TGGTTGAGCTCTTTGTAGATGCTGAAGGATATTTAGTAGCTCCTCATTCTATTGGAGGAGACATTGATTAGCTAGGCGAAGGGTTTCCAATTCATTGTTAGGTGTGGGATTCACTATGGAGAGATCGCCTTCAGGTGTAGGCAAGAAATTATGAGGATTTTCTTGTTGTCTCCTGGTTGTAGCTTCTTGTTGGTTCGGTAGTTGAGGAAGATTCGCTGGTACTCTCCTCATGTTGCGTGTAAAAACCATCAATTACTGAAGAAAATCAATATATCTTTTATCGGGAAACAATTGTTCCCATAGACAGCGCCAACTGATGATGTTCTTCACACAATTGAGCAATGTTGTGGATCTAAAGTGCACTGAATACTGGAATTTGGTTCAATCTGAGCTCCAAGACTCTTAGGAATAGGATTTTTTTGAATAATTTAGGGGGGGTACCACAGAGTGTTTATAGTGGTTCACCAATTCAAGAGCTCGGCTAATCCACTCTCAAGGGAGTCTCTTGCTCCTGAATATATAGTAATCAATTGCGTGTGGTTTACAGAGAGTACATTGCAAGGCTACAATGACTATATTCTTTCTTGATGGCTTTGCCTCTTATTTATAGATATTCTTAGGGTTTGCTTGATCTAGGGCAAGATACTCTCCCCTTAGCTGTAATAGTTCCCCATTATTGCGCAAAGAGACTTGCGCTAGTTAGGTGATTGACTCCAGAAAAATGGGGGACTTGGTGGAATCCAGCTGTCCTTTGAATAAACTTTTGTGAGGTATGGATACAGGAAATTGAGGTATGAAGTTGAGGTCCACAAGTAATATTGACGAGTTGAACTCCTGATCTAGATATAACAAAAGTTTGGGCCAATCGATAAAACAAAATGCCTCAAGTCAAGTTAAAAGGATCCAACTGAGTAACCCTGTGTTTGGTATGATGAAAAGAAGGGTGGATGAAAAATAGAGGAGAGAAAACGGAGGGGAATGAAATGTTTTCACTCGTTTGGTATGGAAGGAAAATATAGTGGAATAGAAAATGGGAAGGAAGCTTAATCCACTCTCCCTGCCATTTGTTTTCCTTCCGGTTTTGGATGAAAAGTGAAAGGACAAGAAAGGAATCTTGATTAAAGTTTAAGCTAAAGTACTATTATGCCCTCTTATCCATTCTTATTGTGCATAGTATTTTATGCCTATTTTACTTTTGATGACGTCAACCACTTGAAGCTCACCATTCTTTTTTAATGTTATGATTATTAAATTTAAATATTATTTTTAGTTTTGCTATCTTCATTTTTTTATCCAAGAAAATGTACCAATGTGTAAATTCTTTTTATATTTTTATTTTTAATTAATGCCATTTTGTCATTTTTTAATTAATAGTTACAAATCATTCAAAGCAAAATTAATTCCTTCAAAATTAATTCGTAACAAAAATAAGGGAATTAAAAGCTTTTTCAAATTAATTGGATTGAATTGTAATAAAAAAACTCACTTAATATATTTAAGGGTAGAATTGTAAATTGGACATATATGTTTTTCCGTTCCTTTCATTTTTCATCTAATACCAAACGAGAGAAAATATATTCTTACTATTTTCCATCTCTCCTGCCAAGCAAAAAAATAATAATAATAATAATTTACTTTCTTTCATAAATGAAAAGCTTATTCATTTCACTTTTCCTTCGTTCCGTTTTTTCATTCTTCGTACCAAATAGACCATAAGTATTAGTATCATTCGACCTAAATTGAACATAAAGCAATTTGATAAGCGAAACTCTCGAGCAATATGCGTGCACCTACCAGAGGCGTGGGGGATGTAATCAAAGTGATTTTAGAAGAGTTACCACCCAAGTTCCACAATTTAGAGGATAATAACTAGGTCTATCCGAGTAAAAAATAGCTAGACTATCGCTAATGACCAAAAATAGTTATAGACAATTGATAAAAAAAACTTCTTATTTAAAGGGACACATTATTAACATGTGACTAAAAAAATTAGAAAGATTCATGTCACACCCCCACCCCGGATCACATAGGGTGAGCAGCGGACCGGCCACCAAGGCCTTGACCAACTAACCTCGTGCATAATAAATGCAAAATATAGCGGAAGACAAATAATAAAGTGATTCATTTCACCGATCTAATGAATACTAGAGAAATAAACTAAACATCACCAACATCATTATTAAACTCATGTAAAACAATAACTAAACTATAAGGTTCACTACTCTAAAGTCTAAGCATGAGCAACATTAATCCCAAAAAAATAATTAAATATTTGTCTCAAAACTATATAAGACATTTATTCTTGAAGACCTACAATGAAATAAATCTTCAATTCTTCTAATTCTTTATTTATCCAGGGACTTACTCCTCCTCTTGATCCTCACCTGAAAAATGTTAAATGTTTGGGTGAGCATAAAGACCCGTGAATAGCAACCACCTCTAATGAGGTGTGAAAATAAATCTCACATTTTATATTCAAAAATAAACTTTGTTACCTACATAAGTACAACAAATTGTACCTCAATCCCTTTCACATAATCATGTAAACAAAATGATCTCATGATCATAAAATAACTTTATAAAAGAAAATATAGTTATAACCCAAACATCCACTCATTTTCACAAGTAACTTATAAACATTTATAACTCAAAAAACTAACACTCACACACACACACACATTTAGTTTCAAATACATTTGTCAAATCATGTTTGTTACCACTACTCTGGTAACTGCTCTTGTCTCTTGTCATCACTAGCCTGATGACTGGTCTCATCTCTTGTTATCACTAGCCTAATAACTGGTCCCTATGTGCATATTCTTATACCGACCACGCCGATATACAATCTCGTTATCATTTAGAACTGATAACCCAGTTCCCTTCTCATAAAATATGATTTCAACACACACACTAAAACTGTTGTTTTAGTCCCAACGCACACAAAATTTTTCTTTCATCATCAAAACACATTTGAGCAATGATATAGAATTATCTCATAAGTTTTTTCCAAACTTCACAAGTATAACAATTCACAACTGCAAAACATTTAATTGCAACCCCAAACATCAACATATATATATATATATATATATATATATATATAAATTCACATACACGCACCCACAGTTTAATATATAAAATTTTCCCAATAGAAGTAGTAAACTACTCACCTTCATTCTCAAAATCCAATTCAAAGCATTCTTTCCCAACCTCAATGCAATCACCACCTAATCCAAAATAACATACAACAATTAATCCCTATTCCTAATTTCGTCATTTCGCGATTCTATATTTAATTTTTACTCCTCCCACCAANTTCTTTCCCAACCTCAATGCAATCACCACCTAATCCAAAATAACATACAACAATTAATCCCTATTCCTAACTTCGTCATTTCGCGATTCTATATTTAATTTTTACTCCTCTCACCCATTGATATGTATTTAATATATCTTGTATATATAAATATTCTTTATAATATGAGGTAATAGGGTATGGAAGCATTCTGGGCTGTTTAGAAAAAAGTTTCTAAAGTTTTGGGATCAAATCATAATTTCCTTGAAAAAGGAATTTTTTGTTTTCGAGCTTGCCATAAATTTTTCAGAATTCTGTTCTTGCAACTTACCAAGTAAAAAGGTACTTAAAATTAAATTTAGAAGAATAAAGAGGTCAAAATAAAGCTCCTTGAAACTAAAGGGGAACTTTCTATATTTGTTTGGATTTGGCCTTCTTCTTCCAGCGGCCGAAGCTGAACCAGTATACTTTCTTCCCTGTTTTTTTTTATTCTTCCCAACACATTAATTGAACTCAATCAATTCCAAACAACTATAAACTTAAAGATCAACCTATTAACTTCAATAATCAATAAGATACCATGAGACCTATATATATATACACCAATANTTTATTCTTCCCAACACATTAATTGAACTCAATCAATTCCAAACAACTATAAACTTGAAGATCAACCTAATAACTTCAATAATCAATAAGATACCATGAGACCTATATATATATATACACTAACATTATAAACCCTACACCCATTAATTGAATAAGAATATAAAACTCATAAGAAAAATCATCAATCTATACCTTGGATGGATTGAAATCCCTTTCCTTCTTTTTCCTCCTTCTCTCTCTCTCTCTCTCTATATATATATATATATAACTCTTCCTACCTTTCTTTCTTTCTCCTTATTTTTTTTTTTCTTGCCCTATTTTGACTACCTACATATATACGTATAGAAAATAAAAGAAACCCTAGAAGTCCTCAAATTCATTAAATACATTAACATCCTTTTTTTAAAAAAATATTACAAATTAACCTAAAAACTAATATTATATATATTTTAAATTTGGATATTACAATTCAAACACAAAATTTGAGAAGATTTGACTGAAATATAACCATCCTATTCCAACCAAAATTCTAAATCTTAAAGAGACGAGTTATACTTTTATAAATACAAATAACCTTAAGTCTAAAATAAAAATTATTTTTTTGCTCATTACTTGCTTGTTTTAATATAGAACCATNAAACACAAAATTTGAGAAGATTTGACTGAAATATAACCATCCTATTCCAACCAAAATTCTAAATCTTAAAGATACGAGATATACTTTTATAAATACAAATAACCTTAAGTCTAAAATAAAAATTTTTTTTTTGTTCATTACTTGCTTGTTTTACTATAGAACCCTTATTGACTTAAACATCGTAATGTCTTCGACCGATCAAAGATCAAAGACCAATCTGTGAGTTTGTTGGCCTTGTAAGAGGAGGTGCACCCAATTATTTTGTGACATCGTTCAATTCTCAGATCAATCACCACTAATTTCATCATTATTGGAGTACAAAATTTTAAGAGAAAACTGAACACTAAAATAAATAGAAACTAATAACAAAACAATAAATCAGTTGGTGCCCTGATCATATTGTAGTTTCCACCATGGATGTCAAAACCATGGGATTGCTATACTGGCTAGCTCAGACAATCATTCAACATTGATGTCCAAAACTTTGGAAGTGTTGGTAGCTTTTGGTATGCTTATATACAGCACTCCATCTTTAACCTCAGCCTTAATTTTCTCGAACTGAATATTCTCAGGCAAAGCAATTCTGCAGCTGTACCTGCCATAGCTCTTAGCAGACCACTCCTCCTCATCCTCTCCCTCATTCTGACTGTTCTTCTTGGGAACTTTTTCTCCTTTCACCACCAACATTTTGTCTTCAATGTATACCTTCACATCCTCTTTGGTCATACCAGGCATGTCAAACCTCATGTTGTACTCTCCCTCACTTTCCTTTATCTCCCATGGTGTCCTTCCCCTGCTGTACCCACCACTCTCGCTTGATGGCTGCGACGGCCAGCCGCCACTGTACGCTACAGGGTCCTCCATTATCCTCTCCATTGTATCCATCATTTGCTGCACTGTCCTTGCAGTGGGAAACCTATCCCACAATCCTGCACACACACACACACACACACACAAAAATTATGGAAGTACTATTGGGTAATCTTTGTCAAACTTTTGCCAATTGGGTATTAAAATGAGAGGAAAAACTAGGCTAATTTAGGCATTACAGCAAAATTATTACAAAATAAGGCTAAAATTAGACATCTAGTCATGTAACATCACAGCCAAAAACCAGATTAGAACTCGATCTTATAAAATTATGACAAATTCTGATGGATTATAATCTTAAAATATTAGAATCCACTTTAATATTTTAAATTTGGGTTAATTATAAAATGTACCCTTCAAATTTGGATCAATTTGCAATCAACACCCTTTAGTTTGAATTTCAATAAATTACAAACTTAAAATTTGTACAACTCAAATTGTTATTTTAGACAATCAAAAATAATAGAAATTAAGTAACAAAATTTATTGAAAAGAGAAAATTAGTTGATGTCAAAAAATTCTTCATTCTTCTTACCAAGATAAAATGATGTGAAACATGATCTTATCTCTTCGTAAAATTTAACCCAAACTAAACGGTAACCAACTTGTATTTCATAGAAACTTTTAAGACGATTAATTAAACTCAGTACCCTAATGGTTCCCTAGGCTTACCGATGGGAGCAATTTGGGCTACTCTTCTCTTGGGTTGTTGGGGTTGATGCTTGTTTGCTCTTTGCAACTGGTCAAGGTTGTCTCTGCCATCTCCGGCCACGGCTTTGATGATCTTTCTGTCGCATTTCCTGCCAGAAATTTGGGTCGACAAGTGTGGAAATTTCGCAGATAAATTGTTGGAATTGGATATTACAGACGAGATTCTTTGTGCTGCAATGGGGTGTGAGAGGAGAAGATTTGAAAGACAGCAAGACATTTTTTTTCCTTGTTGATTTGCCCTCTAGAACCAGAAGATGAAGCTAGTTGTAAACTGTGAGCTACGAAGTATTGGGTTGGATGAATCTCTGGTATATAAAGAATGGTTGGACATTTCTGGAAAGAAATAAGTAGTTGTAGTTGGAAGTCCTGGACAGTGGAAGACATTGTTGGAATGTGTCTAGACATTTCCAGAAGCGCCACCCCCCGCGTCTCTCTGTCTTTCTTATGCAAGGTTAAGGTTTTTCCTCACACAGAGAGAAACGTCGTCGTTTTCGTAAATATATATTAGTTCCACGAGCTTGTTTAGATGACAGAGTTGAAATGGATGAATATCTAAAAAAAAAAAAATATATCATTTTCTATTCGATTCAAACCCACTCAACTTTCATTAGGATAGAATATAAATTGGTATATCCAGTCTTTTTCCTTGTTTGGGTAGATTATACAAACCCACTCAACTTTCATTAGGATAAAATATAAATTAGTATATCCAGTATTTTTCCTTGTTTGGATAAATTATACATTTTTGTGAGCTCATGAATAAGAATAATGTAATTTATTTTCATTAACTATTATACTATTATCCTATCCAATCCACCATGCTNCCTTGCAGTGGGAAACCTATCCCACAATCCTGCACACACACACACACACACACACACACACACANACTATTATCCTATCCAATCCACCATGCTTATAAATTAGTATCCAAACAAAAAAAATACAATTTCACATCTATTATTTTAACAACTCATTCAAATATAAAATTAATATTTTTAAATATATTGTAGCCATTCAAGTTAATAACATAAAATATTTAAAAAATTAAACAAGTACCATATATTATCCAATAAGATAATAACCAAGTAGCATAACCTAGCCAAAGTTAAGTTTTCATATTTAGAAAAAAACTNAAAATTATGGAAGTACTATTGGGTAATCTTTGTCAAACTTTTGCCAATTGGGTATTAAAATGAGAGGAAAAACTAGGCTAATTTAGGCATTACAGCAAAATTATTACAAAATAAGGCTAAAATTAGACATCTAGTCATGTAACATCACAGCCAAAAACCAGATTAGAACTCGATCTTATAAAATTATGACAAATTATGATGGATTATAATCTTAAAATATTAGAATCCACTTTAATATTTTAAATTTGGGTTAATTATAAAATGTTCNTAGACAGATTTTTTCATGCACCACAGGGTTAAGAAACTTATGGGAGGAAAATAATTTTAAAAAAAAAATCTGAAATTTCATGATGTCATATAATATTACACACAGATTTCCTGAAATTTGTACACACGTAAAACTTACATTTATTGAAATNTAACATCACAGCCAAAAACCAGATTAGAACTCGATCTTATAAAATTATGACAAATTCTGATGGATTATAATCTTAAAATATTAGAATCCACTTTAATATTTTAAATTTGGGTTAATTATAAAATGTTCCCTTCAAATTTGGATCAATTTGCAATCAACACCCTTTAGTTTGAATTTCAATAAATTACAAACTTAAAATTTGTACAACTCAAATTGTTATTTTAGACAATCAAAAATAATAGAAATTAAGTAACAAAATTTATTGAAAAGAGAAAATTAGTTGATGTCAAAAAATTCTTCATTCTTCTTACCAAGATAAAATGATGTGAAACATGATCTTATCTCTTCGTAAAATTTAACCCAAACTAAACGGTAACCAACTTGTATTTCATAGAAACTTTTAAGACGATTAATTAAACTCAGTACCCTAATGGTTCCCTAGTCTTACCGATGGGAGCAGTTTGGGCTACTCTTCTCTTGGGTTGTTGGGGTTGATGCTTGTTTGCTCTTTGCAACTGGTCAAGGTTGTCTCTGCCATCTCCGGCCACGGCTTTGATGATCTTTCTGTCGCATTTCCTGCCAGAAATTTGGGTCGACAAGTGTGGAAATTTCGCAGATAAATTGTTGGAATTGGA